AGACCCAGCCCTCTTTCCTGCCTATGCAGGGGGTCGGACTCGATGATCTATTGAGGTCCCTTCCGACCCTAACATCTATGAATCTATGAATCTAGGGGCACATGCCCCCCCTCCATATGCTCCTAGGGTGTGTACAACAGCAGGAGCAGCCCCCGTGCCCCCTGGATGAGATCCAGCTCCATCCTGCACCCCATCCCAGCTGTGCAGCACCTGCCCCTGCCCCACTCCCTCCCTCACCACACGGGCCTCAATCTTCCCCCCGCCACGCTCCTTCCCTCCCCCCTTGCACCTTCCCCCACAACAGACTTAACAGTTGGACACTGCTCTCCAAGCTGCCCAGCTGCATATCAGCAATCAGACTGGTATCAGGTTGTGGAATCTCCATCCTTCGAGGTTTCTAAGACCCAGCCAAACAAAGCCTGGGCTGAAATGATATAGTTGGGGATGGCCCTGGTTTGTGCAAGAGTAGGGTTACCATATTTCTAGTATCAAGAAAGAGGACACTTGTGGGAAGTGAGGGGGCTGAAGAGAGTGGGGGAGCAGGGGGGAGGGGGAAGTGGTATATGATTGTGGGGGGGAGGTCATATGCCCATGCCCTGCCTCTGCCCCTCACTCCTACGCCACACACACCCTAGCCCTGCTATGCTCACTCCTGACCGACTGTATCCCACCCCCTAGCCCTGCTGGCGCTCCTGAACCATGCCTTGCCCCACCCACACCCCAAGTCCTACTGTTTATACAGTTTGCGCACATGCACACACACACACAATCTCTCTGAGTCTCTCTTACCTGCAAGCAGCTTGCCAGGGCCCATGTGCAGAGCATGTGATCCCCTGACAGCCAACCACCTTGCTCCCCTGCTCCCAGCCCCAAGCTGCCAAGCTGGAAGTGGCTGGGAAAGCAGAGGCAGAGCAAAATCCCAGACATCTGCTTGCATTTTAAAAACCTGCATGAACAGGAGGGCAGTGAGCCAAAAATAGGACAAGCCCGGGAAAACCCGGACCTATGATAACCCTAAGCAAGGGTTTGAACTAGATCAGCATTTCTCAACCCGTAGGTCAAGACCCAAAAGTGGGTTGCAAGAATATATGAAAGGGTCACAAACAAACTTTAAAAATGGATCAACAATCTTCAGAAATGGGTTCTTCTTTAAAGGAGAAAAACATAGGAAACCATGGGTTTTCCCTTGCAGAATGGCAGAGTTCCAGCCTGCAAAGGACAGCTTGGAGCCCCACGCCCCACACACTGAGGGGCTGGGAACTGGGCACAGGGATCAGCTGGTCGGAAGTGTGGGGCACTGGGTCAGGACTGGCCATTGATGTTTACAAATGGATCCTGGTACAAAAAGGTTGAGAACCACTGGACTAGATGGCCTCCTGAGGTCCCTTCCAACCTAATTTTCTATTATTCTCAAGACAACCAGTTTTACCCCCACTCTCATACTTTTCCTTTTGAACTTAATTCCCGCTCTTCTCCTCTTTGGCACTGAACTTAGATTGCACAAAACTTTGACCAACTACTCAGCAAAGCTAATTTATATAAAACAAAAGATGATACGGAAACTTAAAAAGTAGCTTTTCTTGTAAATTTGCATGATTGCTAGATCTCTTGCTTAGATTCAAACTTCCCCTCTATTTCAGCAAGGCCAGGTTTTAACCAACAGGCTTAAGACAGTTCGGGCCTGGAAAGTTTGATGCTGAGCAGAGCAAACCTTTGTTGACTTTTTAAAAAAAACTGCCCAGATGGAGACTGGAGGACCCAAATAGAGGACATATCCAGAAAAACCCAGATACATGGTTTTGCTATGCCATGCTGCATCACAGCTGGACAGCAGGAGAAGTGGCAGTGGCAGGCAGGGCTTTGTTGGCGCCCAGAGCTACGTGATTCTAGCCCCGTGCTGGGAAACACTACCCACCTTTACTTTATGGCATGCCTTGTGATATGTTTCAGGTAACGTTCTAAATGGCAGAATACACAGTTCATCCAACAACAAGGAAAATTTCCAAGGCCACATACAAATGCTAAGGGGAAACAGCACACCTGCAATTCATTCTTGTACTTAAGAACTGCAGATTCCGCAGCTTCACTCCAGTTTTCCCATGAATTAACCAGCACAAAAACAATTCAGGAAACAGATTTTTAGAGAGCCAGGCATTCAAACGTTTGAACGCTATTTCTAAACTAACCTGATCATAGAGCTAACTTCATATAGTGGACTCCTCGACTCACATAAAACCTGGCTGAATTCAATTAATCCCCAAAAAAGCATAGGGGATTTGCCTTACAGTCAGCTACAGGACTGGAGCGACATTTTGTAAAATTAATACATTAAAAAAACAGAGAGAATAAGAAATCTGTGGGTCATGAATGTTTTACCTGGAGAGCGTTTCAGTGAGCTTCACAAAGCCAGTGTAAGCCAATTCAAATGCCCCTCTGTGCCTGGACTGCAAGAGATGATGTTTAAAGTAATTTCCTATATCTTTAATCTAAAAAAAATAAGAAAGATAAATCATAATTTGGAGTTAATACTACTGATACATTCACACATGCAAAATCCTTTGAAACTGATATTTCAATGTATAAGCACTACCATATACAATGTATATGCTACATCTCTCAACCTCTCATCTGAATCACAGTAATATTTCTTCAAGTCAGAATAATTCCAAAACAAATAACTAGACCATAGCTGATAAAAAGCTTTACTTCAAAAAATAATGAAAACATAGACAATTAGCTCATGCCCCTTACAATGAAGTGTCATTAGCTGAAAAATTATAAATAAATTACATTTAAATATTGTAATTTCAATGTATTAAATTATATTTTGGGACAAGTTATAGGAGGCAGTAGTGCACTTGGAGACTCACTGACTTCCAAACCACTAATCTTATGACACTAAACTCTTACTGTTTTATTTTGGATATCAGGAAAGGATTAAACTAAATGTTCTCTGACCAATAAAAAAGAAAAAAACCTCTATAGAAGATCATTTAGGAATGGAAGAGGATTCCTATTATATTTTAAGTTATTGGCCCTGTACTTCTATGAATTTTCTAAACCAATTAATTAACTTTAAAATGTTGTGATTTTATTCACCACGAGAAATACTACACACTTGGTGCACACAGGAAATTATGCATTTGGTAGATAAACCATACTGCTTTCAAGCTTCTAAGGAAAGTCAAATAATGGAGCAAAATAAAGTCTCTACTGTGCTCTTTTAAGTGTTTAGTAGAGTGAGAACGATACTTAAAGTGTGAGATAGTAAATCTGCATCTTCACAAATAAATGTAGCTGATATCAATAAATCAAGTTTAATATCAATAAATCAAATTCAGTAAATCAAACTGTAAGCTTCAATACATCTTTTGAAAAAAGGTCTCTTGCAGGATTAAATCTCACAGTTTTTCTGAGCTCACTCTCAATAGCACTTAAATGAAGACTAAGTCAGACACGAAACAGCATTTATTAAATGCATATAATCATAACATTTGTCAAATGACCTTTCATCATTTCCATTTTTCAGAGTAAACTTTCACATACAACGTCAATTAAGCTTTGGGACAAACTTAAGTCAACTCAGATTTTGAGACAGTATAAAAAGCACAGTTTAAGTGTGCTGTGTGTATTTGCACATGTGCCAGACATGCAGCATGTGTGTGTGCGCACATGCATATGTAGTGTGTGTACAAATTAAAACTGCTGGCCATATTCAGAGCAAGAGCCTTGAAAACCAGTTGACAACACATGAAAATGCAGAGAGTGATTGACTGACTTGGAAAATCTCTTGAATAAGATAATCTGGCCTTTTTAAATTCACCAGATATGGTCACAGAAGCAGGAGGAAAGCCTGAAGGGCTACTTCTGTCTAGGTCAGGGGGTGGCAACATTTTGGGACAAACAGCCACAACCTCAACTTATAAGATGCTGGTGTGCCATGGGCAGACAGCAGAGAAGCCCCGAGGGTCCCGATCCTTGTTGTGGCAGTGCAACCCCAGCCCCTTCCCAATGTCTGCCCTGAGGCACATGTGCACCGCTACCAGCAACGAGCCAGGCTGGGCCTCTGCGGACCCCCATGCAGCCGCTTGCAGCCTCCTGGCTGCTTACCGCAGTCAATCTGGAGTCTGGGTAGGCTCCCGATGCCCACCACGGAGCCTGGGCTGCTCGCAGCAGGGAGGCTGCAAGCAGCTGCACCAGGGTCCACAGAGCCCTGGCTGGTTGTCAGCAATGGGTGCACACGCGTGGCAGCGGATGGTGGTGAAGGGGCCAGTGCTGCACTGCCACAACAAGAATCAGGCCCTCAAAGTTCCCCTGTTGTCTGCCCTGATGCATGTGCACCAAGCAAAATGCCTTCATGTGCCACACTCTAGCATGCGTGTTGGAGTTTGCCTACCCCTGGTCTAGGTAGTAACAAAGTTACATGACTACATTCAGATATATAATTTCTTTTTCTCCAAGATGAACAAAAAACTGACTGGTTCAGATGGAATTCCTGATACCGTGTTTGTAAAGCAGCGTCATCCCTTTGCCCCTTTCAATAAATGTGCAAAGGTCCAGGCACAAGGACTTTGATCTACCAGATTATCCTTACCAACAATGATGGCTACTGGTAAACTCTTTGAGCTGCTATGGGAAGACCACATGGGAACTCGGTCTTTAACTTGATCATGGTCAAACTGGCGACCAGGTTCAGGGTCAGGAAGAAAGTTTCTCCCAGGTCAGATTGAACTGGGGTGTTCTGATAATTATCATGCAGACTCACCTACAGTGCATGGTACATCCCTTGCCACTTGTCAAGCCATTTTTGCCAGTTATAATACTCGAGCTCCTCGATTTTCATGGAAGAAGCATAGCACCATTCTTTCCAAGGTTAGAAAGCAAGGCCTGTCAGGAGCACCCAACAAATCCAATCTCTTATTCTGATGCTAGGGTCCTACAAATTTCTCCCAGCAAATGTTCCTTTAGGGGCAGACACTGACATACAGGCAATAACGCCACTTGGAAAAAAACTGCCAATGACAGATGCCCTAATAAAGAAGGACACCAAAAGCTGCTGGCCACCATTGCCCAACCCCTTGGATATGACATCACATGACTCATGGGGCCATTCCTAAACTGGACTGGCAGCAAAAGGTAAAATTGGGGGAGGGGAGGGGGAAAGCAGAAGGAAAAATCCATCAAGCAATGAAAAGGCTGGCATCAAAGCAACAATGTCCAAGTTTAAATCATACCATGGGTCACAGGTGGACACAATGATCCAAGACTAACTACTGTTTATCCACATAAGAGTACCACCGCATAATTTGGTGCAATTTAACACAATTAGTATAAATCCAACACAGATCCAAAACTAAAAAGAAAGGAAAACTACAAACTGAAACTGAAAGATTGGCAGTGCCATACAAAGACAACTCTAGTTCTCAGCTAAGACCAATGCTATTACATTTTCCTTAACGAGTTTTAAAATGTAACTTTACCAATTTGTATAACAGTGAAAAGACGGGTGTGAACTTCAAAGGAAGTATTATCATTTACCTGCAATTTACCTGCCAATTAAAATTTTAAAGTACAATCAGTTCCAAAATTTGGTAGCATCTCCCATTAAAACAAATTAAAAAGATTACTGATAATCTATACAAGGCTGTCCAGCTGGCAGACCATGGATGCACACAGCCCATGAGGGGTTAAGTTGAGGTTCCCAGGCTCCTACTTGGCCACTACTCCCCGCATCACCCCTTGTGCAAGGGCAGGCAAAGGCTCGAGGCTTATTAATTTTTCCACACTGTTTAATAAAAATTAGAAGCAGCCCCAGTTCAATGTGCACATTATTAACTTCAGCCATTTAAGGCCAGGGTACATGGGGTCAAACAGAGCCTGTACAAGGAAACTTCATCTTCCCTTTGTACTGAGAAGTGGTTAGCAAATGTCAGTCGTGAGTCAGGCAGAAGTTGGGGCAGGGTGGTACCTCGGCGACTAAGTGGTTCAGAGAAGGATGAGCTTTTACAGGCAACAACCTACACTGTCAAATTCTGTTAGTAGACCAAGTAGGTTGTTGCCTATAAAAGCTCATGCTTCTCTGAACTAAGCAGCCTCTAAGGAAGG